GCACACAGGCCATTACCATAGCTTTTAACAAAGTGCTATATTATCTCTCCTCAGAACAAATCAATTCCGCAGCCCAGGGGTCAGGCAGAGCCAGGAGCCTGTCACATGCTGATTCAGTGCAGCGTTAGCATTACTGCACTTGCTAAGGGAGCCGCGCTGAATGCCAGAAGCCAAAAGAACAAATTTGCACCGCCCCGTTTGTCTGCAAGGGCTACCAGTCCTTCCACTCACTCTCCAGAACCAAGGGTACTACTGTCCATACTGCCTTATGCTATCACATTTGATTGTATTTGATCATTGCTATGAGATTTCTTCCCCTAAAAAATGTTTACATTCTCAAAGATACACACATGTGGAACATGTGTTAGACTATATGGAGCCCTGTTCAGGGCTTGCCACCTTGTGGTTCGTTTTCCTGATAGGAAATACGACAAATCTAGACACAAGATTTAAAAGCTCTTCCAGAGCAAACAGAAATGGTGAGTTACGCAAAGAAAATAAGATACCTGGGGACAATGATTGCAATTAAGCTGCATTTCTAACCCAGTTCCACAAAGACTTAAAATTTCCAGTCAGTTCCTTAGGCTTCCCAGGGCTGTCCTGCACATTTTATTTCTACTCTTCTCACAAAACAAAAGGAAAGACACCTGGTGAACAGGGAAGAGGATGACCACTAATGAAAGTCCAGCCACAGACATAAACACATCAGTACCACCTGAAAGCATGCCACTGCTACCGTTGGGTTTCTCGCTCCTCATAGCCATACCCATTCCCAAACTCCAGGCCCATGCATGGCACAGGCTATTGTCCTACACCACAACACTGGTGCCACCAGTGCTTCTGCCCCAGCAAGGCAGCTGTGAACGGCAGACTCATCCAGGAAGGGTGATCTAACAAGCAGCTTTAGAGGCTCAGTGGTTCCTTCATTCAGCTGGGCTTCAAAACAGCTGCTCCTCTTTAAGGAGACACCCAGATCCATTTTCTCCTTGTGAATAGCAAGACGCTCCCTCAGACTTCTAATTTAGTGCAAATTCACAGACAAGCAGGAGCAGCACAAACCAGCAAGGGTTTAGTTTAACTATATGATAGGCAGATGAATAAGTTAGCTTCTGGGTGAAATTTTTAAAATGAAAATAAATTATCACGCCTTGTCATCTAGTAAGTCCAAAAATACTCATTTACTTTATTTATCTACCTGGAGTGTTTTCCTGTTCCACGACAAACTCCTTCTGGCAAGCAAGGATTCATGATTAGCCATATTTTTAAGTGGCTTTTTATTTTATACAGGGATTTAAAATTTATAATAAAGTTTATTGTTTTGTATTTTGAGGAATATTAAACTATGCTTAGATTCAACAGCACCTTTAATTTATTTAGATTACCATTATCAATGTAAAAAACCTTAGTAATCACAAAAAGCTCAAAGAAATCTGAATTTTGAAAGAGTTTTTAGTTTTAGGGTAGAAACTGCGTCTCACAATAGCCTCTTGTCCACAAAGGAGTGCTTGTAAGGGATAATCAGTATATTTCTTTCTCAAAAGGACCAGTCCAACACTTGAAACCTTAAACACGGGCTGTGATACAGTGGACGCCAAATCAATTCATGTTCCCTCTGACAGCAATAGCAAACAGGCAGTGATGCTGAACTGATGCCTGCCTGCCTGCCATATCTGTCAGTGAACACTATATGTTTGCACAGGTTTATTTGTTTTCCAAGGGCTAGCAATGAGTAGGAGGATCAGGATCAGTCTTATAATAAAATACCCTTATGGATTTCTTTCAGCCACCCTCAAGGTATATCAGTTTTTAGACTCATAACCTTGACAACATCCTTTTGGAGACTGATACGCCACTCTTTACTTGTCTCTTCATACATAGCTACTGCAGCACAAAGGGATCTGGTACTGCGCGTGATTCCCAAGTGCACGTGCTCGGGTAAGGCACACATCACCACAGTATCAGGGTCCCCAGCAAAATGACAAAGCAGAATTCCTGTTTCTTTTCAGAAGACAGGATAAATGGAATATAAGTATGTGCACACCCAGGAACTACGCAGGAGAACTCATAATCCTGTGCGTGGCAAAAAAAGTGAGCTTTATGTTTTGTTTTGAACACTGTGAGTGCTTATATATTTTATCTCTCGGAATTTCCATCCAGACTGGTGAAACTTTAACAATCAGTCAAGATAAAGGGGGCAGACATGTCTTCAAACCAGTCTTCTCAAGAGAAAGGAGGATGGACTTGGCACCCACGCACCTGACACTGAAAAACTGTCACCTGACATCCCAGTTTGTACTCCTGGTGGTTTCTCAACTGTACCTCAGAGCCTGGTTCCCCATGCCCTGCCTCGGCCTCTGTTTTTCCTGCTGCTGAGTTGGGATTTCTCATTTGTGCCGTATCCCTGAAATAAGCGCAACAAACCTAGAGACAGCCTGTCAGAGTCAGCTGTTTACATCTCTGCTGAAGTCTGCCTGGAGAGCAGAATGCTCATTAAACAATTTTTCACACATTGATGATCTTTCCTTCTTGTTCTTTTTCTTTTCTTTTACAATAGCCTTCAGAAAACGAGATGGTTTTAATAACTGGTGCAACTGATACACAATATGACTAAGTCAATAGGATAGTAAAGATTTTTTAAAATGTAGATTATCGATCTTTGAAATTGTGAGGGCTCCTTCAAAGTCATTAGGGTTTGTCATGTCCATATGTTAGTAAGGACTTCTATAAATTAAGATTAATGATGCTATGGGTAATTATCACTGAAGAAATTCACATATTTCTCAGTATTTGGAAACTCCATGCAAAGGTGAACAGTGTCAAGTTCTCCTTGAATGTACCTCAGCTCCATTTCTGCTATTAGACTAGAAGAAAGATTTTTTTTGATGCAATGGGAAGTTAAACTCCCAGTTTCACTGGAAATCAATGGTAGTTGAACTGTGTAACTCTGATTTGTGCTTTTTAAAATAATTCCCCATATACAGTGAGTGCAGCTGATTTGCAGATCTACGAAATCCACAAGCCAAAATCCTTCTGGATAATTTTTTCTTTCCAAAAGAATCTGAACATGTGAAATAGCTGCTTTTCCAAATTAAAAACTCTTCTTCTTATTGTTCCCTGCAAGACTTCTTCATATATTTTGCTAGAAGCGTGAAAAGTTAAAACTTAAAAAAACAAAAAAAAAAAAAAGAACCAAAGCTTTTTGTTAACTTGCAGGAATGTAAAGAAGTCCCTAAAGCTAACAACATGATTTTGCAAGGGGGGCTCATGTGCATATTTTTTTAATCTAAAAACATCAAATTCAATACTTCTCAAGTTATTTCTGCTCTAAGGCTGGGGCTTAAACGCCAAGTACTGTCCAGATAATTAATGGAATAGCTCTGCTGGGGTTTCCCTTGCATGAACATATCAGGAAAGATAAAATTGGTGGGGGATCATTTGATTCTCAATTATGAAGCACTAATTCCCAAAATAGTCCTTAGGATTATAATTTGTTTCCATTAAAATCTTGGTGACAGGTTTTACTCATCAGTTTTTCAAAAAGAGTATCAAGCATAATTTGGCAAAGTTTGAATTGGATTGAGGCAAACACAGCCTGACCACCCTTTGTGGATGGAACCAAAATGATCTGAAGATGAGCTTTTTGATTTTTAAAGAAAGATAATCAAAGCCAAAAGAAATCTGAAGCCAGGCTAGGATGTCTTGGCTCTTTTTCAACAGAAAACCAAAATGGCAAGCAAATCCATATTCTGTTTCAGAGGGGAAACGAAGGCTGAGCAAAGGGTGTCAGCATGGTTCCTGTCTGGCATGATGCCCATCTTTGGTGGCCTGCAGGACCACATCAGGATCTGTTTTGTCTGCAGCCAAACTGCAACTCAAAAAAGACTTTGCGGAAAGTGCCCCTGCATCCCAAAGTGAGGAATTTTGAAGAAAGATATCTTCACACAGCAGAAAAATAGCTAGCAGCTGGATATATAAAATACCTGATCATAAAATCCTGTCATCAGAAGGAACATTATAAAATGTACATGAACATAGATGAACTGGCTGGTGTTATTGGAATCCTATTTAACTCCTTAGCTCTCACTACTTTTCATGTCCCACCTTTACTGAAGTTGTTTATTCTCATCTTGAATAAGTGGATAAACAGCCAACAGACATTATATGAAGATGAGAAGTGGACTTCAAAATCATATTACACTGCAGATCACATTTCAAGTTATATTAGCTTATAAGAAGACATTATTATGTGAATCCAGGTTTTTCCTTGCATTAGGAGTTTACAGAAACAAACAAAAAAAAGGCCGGGGGGGGGCAGCAGGGAAGAGCTTTTATTTTTAAGCTTTTTACAAGCTTAAATAAGCCATCACACCTTCTGCTTGTATGTATAGACCTTAAGGGCTGGAACGACTAAGAAGAAACAAATCTCGCATTGTCACAAGTCACTAAAGTGACTGGTCCAGTATTAGGAATGAAGCATAGAAAACAGACAACACTGCAAAGCAACAGTCTTTTTGTGGTGATGAAACAATCACATTCAGCGCCCATTACCCATGAAGTTAACTTTGGCAGATAACTGCACACAGTAGCAGCATACATGTTATTAAAAATCATTTCTTTCTAAGGTTATTTCCAGAACTTCATTTGTGGCACACATATTTGCTGTCTGATATACCTATTTTTATCAGACAAGCAGATTTTATTATTTGATTTTTTTACTTTACTGTCTTATACCACGTTTTCAACTCTACCATCATTACAAAATGATCAACAAGATACTAAAATTAAAGAATGCTGAAAATGGGACTGAAATACTTAAATTCTCAAGAAATGAATAAAAGTCTACCCATTGAAAATTCTCCTCCTTTGGTACTCATTCGTGGACCAATACCAGCAGACACAAAGATGCTTAAGGAAAAAAGGTCGCATAGACTGGACACTTCTGAATTTGTTGACAGAAGCCACAGACACCACAGTATAAGAGAACAGAACGTATTTCTTACCTTTATGATGATTTGCCCCAGACGCTAATTTCCCCCACAGCGTTACAACAAATATTATTATTAGCAGCTTTCCTTTTGTTGCTTTCTGTAAATATCTCTTATTCATCCTGAAAACAAAAACACACAAAAATAAGTATTTCTCTTAAGACTTCTTTAAAAAACATTTTTGTCTTAATTTAAGGAGAATTCCGGAAGTTTTTACAAGTGTCTGGCTGTCAAGCCTTGAGTCTTAAACTCTGCTTAGCTCTAAATGAGTTACATCATACAGAGCATTAGCAGATCCTCCCTCCCATGAGTTACATCATACAGAGCATTAGCATATCCTCCATGGTCCTCCAGCATTCCTCCACCCTGGTCAGTACCAGGAGAATTCAACACCTCCACTCATCGCGTTTCTCTCAAGGCACAAGCAGTGTTCATAACCACAGCAGACTCCTAAACTGGCAAGAAGGATGAATCCTATGCTATGCTGCAGCTATGCTGCAGGTTTTGATGAACACAGCAGTTCCACTAGTGTGTATGGGGACAGTCATGGTCAATGTGGTCCTCTCTGACCTGGGGAGCAGCAGAGGTTTTAGCTTTTGGATTCTGCCCACAAGTCACAAGGAGATAACAGATTTTAATAGACAGCCAGCACACATAACCATTCCACAGAGAAATCCTGTTAGGAAGACATAAGTGGTTTGGAAACATGGACTCAAGCAGGGCAGATTCACTAGTCTCTCTCCTGTCTATCTTTGGGTAATGAAAAGATTTGATTTACTACACCAAGGGAAATTGCACACAGCTACCCTCATCTTGCTCAGTGATGTTTTCACTGTGACAGCAAGCCACCACGGTGGCTCAAGCACAAAGTAACACATGACTTATTTCTCAGTAACCTCCTCCAAAGACAAAATACCCCTCCACCTGCCAAAAAGACAGGTTTAGGAACGTAAGCTCTAGTGCTTAAGGATTATAGTTGTGCAGAGAGTGGCAAGAGGTATAATAATGAAACCTTCTCTCACTTTTCATTCTCTGTAGAAGACCCCTAGGGAGTTGGCTAAGAAACAGCTCTGCACGATGGTCATGTTTCTGCTGATAGGACAATAGTACAATGATGCCTATTCCAAATCACTTACACTAGTAAAGCTGCAAATTTGATCACTTGAACAAAATTATTGCTATTTTGTAATACCTGGAACTAGGGTGCCTTTCTGAGGAGAAAAAACTGCATTGCTTCAGTATGGTTGCACATTTGTCTCCTATAATGTTCATAAGAAGCCCAAAGGAATTTAAGAGTATCTTTTTTGCTCTGCTTGTGTACAACACTATCTTGGGCAACCACAACCCTGTGAAAAGCAGACTGCTCTAATACAGAATTAACAGGTAGCCTGTTCAAAGTCCCAAATCTCTTTCCATTCCTTCAAAGCAATTCCTTTCCTCTGAGCAAATTGCTTTCTAATAGAACACCACACACAGATAAGGCAACCCCCCACACATCCCGCAACTCCACTCGCGATTTCCAGGCTTATAACCAGACCACTTCCCACAAAACTGCCCATCTTGCTTTCCAGGACATTGATGTGATCTTGTTAAGCACTGGTAAGTTTCCACACCAGGCTGCGTGTAACAAAACATGACGACTCAAATTAAGAACCCACTGAGGAGTGTACCAAACCCTTTTAAACCTGAATTCAGAGTAAACAGAACTCAGCATCCTTTGACAGAAATCACACACCTACAGCGTGTTTCCCTGAGGTTCATATATCACATTTATCAGGGAAAAAAGAGAGAAGAGTAAGCAACTACTATATCTAGGATGGTGGATGTGCCCCTGAAAGTCTGACTGATTAATAATCACAGTGGAGGTCACGGTGTGCTGTGAACCACACCAAGCTCTGCCTTCTTGCACTGATTCTAGTGCCTTTGGAGTGTAAACTGCATATTCATCATCAGCTCCAGGTTCATGAAGCACTCAAAGCTAAAGGGAAATATATTATTTGTCACTGTAAATAAGAACAAAAAAATGAAACTGGAATGCACATTCAGCATATGCTCTTTCACAGCCATCCCTGTGAGCGGAATATGAATTAACTCTTTCACTCCTGGATTCTCTTACTGCACCTGTTATGATGCTGGCGCCAAGTCATCTCTTATTAAAATCAAATCTTTCTTCCTCACCTACTCAACCTTGCTGCTCAAAACCCAGTGGGACTTGCACCATTAAGCAAAGTTGAATATAATACAGTTGCCTCCTGTATTTTGCTGATGCCAGATCTACTCGCTGTGCTGCAAGGCTGGCAGCAAATGCACAGCAGAAAATGCAAATACATAAAGAAAAACAGCGGCAGCAGGGGGAAAGAGAGAAAACCAACCTATCTGCCTGTGAACAGCAGCCCCTCAGGGTAGGTGGCAGAGTGAAGATACAAACCTCTGCCCACAGCCCAGCACACCAAAGAGGAATAAGCCAGAACTTTATATAGAAGAGATTGTTCTGCAAAGTAAAGGAAGGGTTTCAGCTTTGACACAGAAAATCTGGGATCGTTGCCATTGCCAGATTTTCCAATCATGAGAAAAACAATGCGCCTTTTCTGTACCACAAGCCTGTTACACTATTGTACATTACTTATTTGTGGTATTCACCTTTAGAAGGACAAAAATCATAACCTTGTCTTTTAGCTGTCCCATAATAGGCACAACTAACAGAAAAGTCAGCGTAAGTAGCAGTGCTAGCTTGGGACTAATAGCTATGGGGCCATCAGCAGAAGTACAGAAAAAAATCTCAGCAGTTAAAGCATTCATAACATACAGCAGCTCAAATAAAAAGTTGGAAGATGATGCTAAGTTTCAAAGTAATTATGCGGTATAACACTAGACTTGCAGTTTTGTGCATTGGCCACTAACAGCGGTCAGTCCAAGGACAGACGAGTGGCTGCATAAGCACAAACAAGGTATGAAGCACTCTGCTCCCAGCAGTGCTGGTACACACACAGAAGCCGCACTGTAGCAATAGAGCCCTGGAAATAAAAAATGAAGGTTTTGTTGCCCAAGAAACTCAGGGGGTTGAGATGGGTGCACCTCATCAGCAAAGCAGGCAAACAGCTAGAAACAAGGAAAGACCATGAGATACACTCAGTATCTGAGTGCGTGCATTATCACCTGGGCTCAGAAACTGTGATGCTGGGTATTTTTTTGTGGAATTGCAAAGCAGCCCACGATACAGCACTGAGAAGACACTGGAACTAGATAGGATTTGACCTCAGCTCTGAAATGTAACTATTAGCCTCTTGCAACCCCAATCCATGTCAAGTAAGTGCATCCAGGAAGTAAAATTCAGTCCATTACCGTACTGTTATTAGACTAACATAACAGGCTGTGTTAAATAGAACAAATGAGCTCTGAAATGAGGTCTACTTTTCCTAGAGGTGATGCAGAGCTCCACAGACAAACTATAGCTATTAACCTGAATGGTTTTTTCTGTGAGACATTTTCCTCTTCTATTTACCTTTCTTTCTGCAGAGCCTCTCCCTTGCAGTGATCCTTACAGCCTTCAGTAATGCCACATAAGCCAAAGGTGATCAAAACCGAGAATAGCTATGCTATAGGAGACGTCTACATTTGAAAATCAATTTTACACAAAAATGCAAACTTTATGTGTAACAAGAATTTCCTGCAGTTTCTAACCCCAACATGGTGGAAATAAAACCAAGGAATTCTCAGCACTTTCACACAAAAGAGGAAAGGAAAGGCTGCCATGTTCCAGTTCATTTTTCAGAAAAAGAAAGATAGCTCCTTTTGTGGTTCCAGGGACACGTTCAAAATAAAACAAAAAGATGTCACCCACATAATTCAAGCAGGCAGTGGCTGACACTGTCTCCCACATCATCCTCACAGGAAAGCTTAGGAAGTGTGGCTTAGATGAATGGACGGTGAGGTGGATTGAGAACTGGCTCACAGATAGAGCTCAGAGGGTTGTGGTTAGTGGCGCAGAGTCTAGTTGGAGGTTAGTAACAAGTGGTGTCCCTCAGGGGTCAGTACTGGGCCCAGTTTTGTTCAACATATTCATCAATGATCTGGATGAAGGGATAGAGTGTACCATCAGCAAGTTTGCTGATGACACAAAACTGGGAGGAGTGGCTGACACGCCAGAAGGCTGTGCTGCCTTACAGCGTGACCTCGCCAGGCTGGAGAGTTGGGCAGAAAGAAACCTTATGAAGTTCAATAAGGGTAAGTGTAGGGTACTGCACCTGGGGAGGAATAACCCCATGCACCAGTACAGGTTGGGGGCTGACCTCCTGGAGAGCAGCTCTGTGGAGAGGGACCTGGGAGTCCTGGCAGCCCACGATACAGCACTGAGAAGACACTGGAACTAGATAGGATTTGACCTCAGCTCTGAAATGTAACTATTAGCCTCTTGCAACCCCAATCCATGTCAAGTAAGTGCATCCAGGAAGTAAAATTCAGTCCATTACCGTACTGTTATTAGACTAACATAACAGGCTGTGTTAAATAGAACAAATGAGCTCTGAAATGAGGTCTACTTTTCCTAGAGGTGATGCAGAGCTCCACAGACAAACTATAGCTATTAACCTGAATGGTTTTCTCTGTGAGACATTTTCCTCTTCTATTTACCTTTCTTTCTGCAGAGCCTCTCCCTTGCAGTGATCCTTACAGCCTTCAGTAATGCCACATAAGCCAAAGGTGATCAAAACCGAGAATAGCTATGCTATAGGAGACGTCTACATTTGAAAATCAATTTTACACAAAAATGCAAACTTTATGTGTAACAAGAATTTCCTGCAGTTTCTAACCCCAACATGGTGGAAATAAAACCAAGGAATTCTCAGCACTTTCACCCAAAAGAGGAAAGGAAAGGCTGCCATGTTCCAGTTCATTTTTCAGAAAAAGAAAGATAGCTCCTTTTGTGGTTCCAGGGACATGTTCAAAATAAAACAAAAAGATGTCACCCACATAATTCAAGCAGGCAGTGGCTGAGTGTGAGATGACTCTGCAGTGACCAGCTCTTCACGAACACCGTAACACAATGAATAAATTCATAGGATTTGTTACTTTTGTTCCATAAGACTCCTTTCCCTTGAAGCACTCTCCACGAAACCATCACCA